ACGAGAGCTCCATTGACAAACATTGTTACCACCCCGCCCTTTGAGTTGACTTCTGTTGGTTTTCTCCACTTAGATTTATGCAAATGAGGTTTTGAATATACTTGTGGTAGTAGACCTGTTGCACATTCGGAAAGAGGGCAAAACAACAGAAAATCTTCCTTAAATTGTCCAGCATCGACAAATCTAATGTAAACCAATAATTGTGCTTCTCACGTGAAGAGCCTTCTCATTCACCATAACAGCTTTCTGTAGCAGTGATTTTTGACCACACAGCTCATGTGAAGTCAAGTGGCATTGTCTGAAGCGACTTGTGCTTAGTTGTGAAGTGCCTTAGCATTTTAGAATGTTGATGACTCTCCTTCACTAACACCTTGCCGCAAATCACACACTGTGGTTGGGAATCCCCATAATAACTTGTCTGAGTGAAGCCATATTCCAAGTACGTATCGTCATATTTTCTGCTCTTGGTCTTCTTTCTTTTTGATTAGTTCTCAACTGGAGGCTTTTTATTGTTAGCACCAATTAAAAATTGCTCCATGTCTTATCAGCAGTCCAATTATGATGACTATGAACCGCAAATTGCTAAGCCCATGTGACCACATCGAATCAGCAGTTAATTTGTTATATCTTGTCGCCAATAGGTGGTGCTATTAGGCGAGTATTTTATACACACATTCAAAATAAAGGTTTTCCCAGGTTAAGAACGGTTGGCATAGATATTCTTGTTATACCATGTCACATTAATATACCAAGTGTTACATTATTTTTCTGACATCTGAAAATAGAACATGACAGAAAATGTACAGATCATTCAGTCAAACTGATGGATAAAGATTATTTGTAGTGCAACCTTATGATTTGAAATGATTTGTCAGTCTTTTTGAGTGGAGCATCCCCAAACCGAAAGTGCCTCCCATAATTTAAAACACAGTGTAAAGAAAAGACATAAATGGAAGACCCCCCCCGCCCATTTAAAATTTGAATTTTATATATTTCTATACAGAAGGGGTAATCTATCCAGACTAAATGTCTGAAAGTGATTGAAGTGTGTCTTGGGCTCCTTTTTACATACTTTAATAGATATCTGCAGGAATGTTGCATCTTTTCATGTGTACACTGGTGTAAATTATCCAAACCACTAGGCGGAGCTCTCGCCAAGGTCTGCTCGAGAACGTGTAATACAGCGGAAACGAGCAGATAGATAACACACAGTTGAGACGTTACATATGTGATTGACTTTATACTGTCATATCTTTTCTTGCAGGTAAGAATAATTCAGTATATTTAAATTAAGGGGTCCATGAACAGTTTTCATTGTTGTTTTGGTGCTTTAAGTAGGTTTTGAGCACCACAACTCTGTATTGTAATTGCTCATAGATAGAACGCGATCAGAGACAACTCTGGTGGAAGTTTGTACATGAAACAAAGATCGGTATTGTGCACAGGAGTGACAATATGTTGTGAAAAGTAATTATTTTATGATTTTGATGGTGAGACGGGTAAATTATTGAAGTGTGGCGTGAGTTAAGTGGCGCACGTGGAGTTCGCTGGTGTCCGCCATCTTATGTCAGTTGTTTGCCTCTGTGCTTTAGAGTTACCAACAACTCAAACGAGGTGATATGCTCGCTTATGAAACCAAAGAGTTGTAAAATGTGACATAAGAAAACATTAAAGTGTCATGGTTTATTTAGAGTAAATAAGTCATGCTTGAACAGAGAATGTATGTACTCTGGAATGTGGTTAAACAGAAAGAATAATGTAAAGGTTCAAATTAAGTTCAACATTGTTATCTTTGATGTTATTGAGCAAAATTCATGTTCATATGCTTGATATGCAAACTGTATTTGCAAGTGAA